TTTGACATGAGCACTTTACCACTGAGCCACATTGCCAGTCTTTTTTATTTTCATTTTGAGACAGCTTTGCTAAATTGCTGAGGCTAGCCTTGAACTTGTGATCCTCCTGCCTAAATCTCCTGAGTTTTGGGGATTATAGACACGTGTCTCCATATCTGGCTCCTATTTTTTAAAATTGTGAATGTCATTTAAACTTTACGATTCTGGATCATCAGTAAGATTGTCATTTTATTGGTGAACTTCTGTACTATATAGGTTTACTGTGCTGTCCAGATTTTTGTGTTTGTTTTTAATGGTACTAGGGATTGAACCCAGGGTTGATCTACCATTGAGCTACATTCCCAGTCCTTCTTATTTTAAGATAGAGTCTCACTGAGTTGCCCAGCCTGGCCTTGAACTTGCAATCCTTCTGTCTCAACCTCCTGGTGCTGGTGTGCACCAATGTGCTCGGCATGCTTTCTGACTTATCAGCATTTATTTTTCCTTTTTCCTTACTAGTTTTTTCTTTATTTTTTTATGTGGTGCTGAGGATCAAACCCAGTGCCTTACCCATGCTAGGCAAGCAAGCACTCAACCACTGAGCTATAATCCAAGCCATTTTTCCTTACTGTTAGTACATACAGACAACATCAAAATGTTGAAAAGGTAGAAAAGTAGATGTTTTAAAATTTCATTAAGGATGGATATACTGTGGCCAGTGGAGTGAGGTGTCCACTTGATGTTGGCTGCCTGAGATTGGGAAGACTCTGGTAGAGGAAAGAGCTCTAGTCACTGTGTTTGGCTCAAGGGCCTTTCTGGGTCTCAGATGTGAATCCTGATAGTATAGCCCTAAGGTAAACACATGTGGTGGCACACTCCAGTAGTCCCAGCAGATCCAGAAGCTAAGTAGCAAGGGGATTGCAAGTTCTAGGCCATCATTAGCAATTTAGGGAGGCCCCAAACTACTTCTTAGTAAGATCTGTCTCAAAATAAAAAAGGTCTGAGCATATGGCTCAGTGGTTAAGTGTCCCTGGGGGGGCGGGGGGAAGGAAAGAAAACAGAAAATGAAGCTGGGCACAGTGGCACATGCCAGTAATCCCTGCTACTTGGCAGGCCAAGTCAGGAGGATCCCAAATTCAAGGCCAGCCTGAGTGAGACCCTGTTTCAAAATAAAATTTACAAAGGCAGAGGGGCAGGATTTAACTCGGTAGTAAAGTGTTCCTTGGTTTAATTCCCAGTATCACAAAAAACAAAACAAAACAGAAAATGAAAGGTGATAGGAAGCCAAATCTGAATCTATAGTTGTTGGTTGCAGTGTAGAAACATGGAGTTGTCCTCAAGGATGTCAGGTATAGCTATTAAACTAAACAAGATGATATTCCTAGATACATAATCTGCCAGGAGTTGCCGCAGTGATTGAGTTTGCAGCTATGCATTATAGTCTTTTCAGCTCGTTGGTCAGGTAGTATGAAGTGATCATCTCTGTACCCCACCTGCTCTGACTGGATTTATAAAAAAACCACATCACAAAAGTGTATCTTATTTAGCATTCAGGCAAAGTGTTAGAGTGAAGAAAATGGAGTATAGATGCCAGAAATAAAATCACTTGACATTCTGCAATCTAAAGTCAGGAAGTCCTTTTCCAGTAAAGAGGGAAATTGAGAAGATCCACGAGAGCTGTCGTGTTGACAGCATCTCTTTGAATGTTAGGCACACATGTATGCAGACAATGTACCCCTTGCCCTGCATGGGACCTGAGAATGAGCTGAGGGAATGCAGTTCCTTGGGAATGTACCATTGGCCTCTTCCAGCTTTATGGCAATTGGGGATTATGTGTGGCATCTGCAAGAAAGCTATAACCTATACAACTGCTCCTTCTAACCCATTGCAAATCAGAGAGCAGAGTATAGACCTGCTTCTAGACCTGATGCCAGGCCCAAGTCTTTGAACTTGACCTGGGTGATAGATTTTGAATTGGAATCCCAATAGTTATGATTCAGACGTCTTACAACAGTTATCTGACAACTAGAGGTTTCACGTGAAAAAACAGGTTGACTGAAAGTTGTACTATTCAAGGGGGGTGGGTAGATATTTGTATTGTCTGATTACAGAATTACTGGAAATATTTGGGATCCATGAAGTTTTCAACAGCTGACATTAATATCAGCAAAACATTTTTGTTTCCTAGTTGCCAATGGTTATAAGGTTTCATTCTGATTGTTATTGGGGTAAGAACTGCCACACTTAGTTGGAAGCCCACCACATAATCAAATTAAATCATCAGTGAAGAGATGAGGCTCAAGAATCAATTGTCAGGGGAGAAGGGACTGACATAGCTTGAGTGTTGGAGGTTAATGGCAGTTTTAATAACTGAATATACAGATATTTTAAGTGTTTTTTTTTTTTACTTTTGATACTTGGGATTGAACCTGGGGAATCTTTACCACTGAACTACACCCCCAGCCATTTTTATTTTGAGATAGGGTAATCTTTGGGGGGGGCAGGTACCAGGGATTGAACTCTGTTTTATTTTGTATTTTATTTAAAGACGGTCTCACTGATTTGCTTAGTGCCTCACTTTTTGCTGAGCCTGGCTTTGAAATCTCGATATTCCTGTTTTAGCCTCCCGAACCGCTGGGATTGCAGGCCTGTGCCACCGCACTTGGCTGAGATGGGGTAATCTCAATAAGTGGCCAAGGCTGGTCTTGAACTTGGCCCATAACGCATATTTTATTTCATTACATCTGGTGATTATTATTATCTCCTCCTGCTACCTCCTCCTCCCTCTTTCCTTTTCCTTTTCCTCTTCATCATAATCATCATCAACAGCAGCATCGGGGTACTCTTATCACCCAGGGTCTCACTAGGTTGCCCATGCTGATGTAAGACTTGCCATCCTTTTGCCTCAACCTCCCGAGTAGCTGAAATAATGGGTTTGTGCTGCCATGTCCAGCTTGGCAGTCATCTTCTAATGAGGTTTAAACATCACAAACTATAACACAAAGAGTATAATTTTTAATTTACAGATTGACCAGAATTGAGTATAATATGTTATTGTGAGCATGGTTCCTTACTAGTGTAAGTTATTATCATATTTAGAATAGATATCCTTCTTATTTAATATCAGTGACTTATTTACACCTTTGAGGAAGTGGGTTGAGGGATAGGTCGATTGAGAATAGCGTAGGTGAGTGAGTTTCACAGGCATGGTGTAGGTCAACATGCACTGTTGAGTTTGGTTTTACCATATTTCCGAGGATCAGGTCCTTCCAATTGTATATCTGAGAGAGAGTGGAGGTGTGCATGAAGGACCAGTATAGCTGCTGCTCTTCATGAAGCTGCTGATCCCTTTGGATTTTGCTATCCTCTAATCTTTACCCTTTGTTTTTGAGTTAGTTTTACCACCTTATCTGGGATAATACTTGAATAGTAGTCAGCCCTCTATGCCCTGGTTCTGCATCCAGAGATTCAGTCAATATTGTATTGAAAACATACAGACTCTTGGTATTTTTAAACAAAACAGTAAAACAACTACATACATAGTATTTATACTGAATTAAATCTTATAAGTAATCTAAAGATTATTTAAAGTTTACAGGAGGACCGGGTGTGGCCAGTGGTGCAAGCTTGTATTTGCAGCAATTTGGGAGGCTGAGGCAGAAAGATTCTAAGTTTGGAGCCAGCCTTGGTATCTTAGAGACCCTGTCTCAAAATAAAAACATTAAAAAGGGCTGGGAATATAGCTCAGTTGTAGAGTGTCCCTGCATCTAATCCCCACTAATGTGTACAGTTGTATGAAAATATACCGTTTTATGTAAGGACTTAACTCTGTATTTTGTTGTACCTGGGAGTAGGATGTGGTGTGTAGGCAGGGGTGGAGTTCTGGGAACCAAATTTTACCACCTCTTGGATACCTAGAGCAAGGGACAACTGTACTTGAAACTTTTTAAAAACATATTTTTAGTTGTCAGTGGACCTTTATATATTAATTTATTTATTTGTGGTGCTGAGGATTGAACCCAAGGCCTTACACATACCAGGCAAGTGCTCTACCACTGATCCACAACCCCAAACCCCTGAAATTTTTTTAATTAAAAAAATTTTTAAAACTTCCTTCTTATTCTCAGACTCATTTTGTTTATTTTTTTGCCTTCCAGGAAGACAACTTTAAACTGTTGTCTTACTCAAAATCTAGTGACTTTTTATCACTGTGAAAAAAGTCCTCTTTTTTTTTTGTATTCTAGTAAACTGAGTTTCCAAATTTCTGTTTGAAGAAAGAATACAAACACTGAGTAAGAGCATAGTGTTCTCTGACTGAAATGGACAAAATTTAGTGTGAGGACCTGGGCATTTACTTTGATTATTCAAAGTCCTTTTGCTTCTTCTGTATTTATTTTTGATTAAAATTACTACGTAAGTGATGTCAGCATTTAATTACCTAGTAATATCAGTGCTGTTATCTCATTTTGTACTATTACAAAGCATGGGAAGGAAATTGAATGTTAAGCTAATTACAGATACAAAATATACATAATGAGACTACTGATGGGAAATATGGGGTATCTTGTTGATGATTGGGATTTCGTCTATTTCATGTCAAGAAGGAGATTGATTTTGAGTGAAGAAATAAAACTGAAAAGGAGGTGATCAAGTTGAAGTATATTGCTAGACAATATACTGGTCTATGTTCTTTCTTTATGTCCCACCTTTCTTTGAAGTGACCAACTGAAATTATTAATGTTAAGCTGCAGTGAGAGTTTCCTTAAAGGACAAAAGAGAAATCTTATTTCTGGAAAAGTTGCCAGTTTCTATATTTTTACTAGTATATAATTTTTAATTTGAATGAAAATGAAAAAAGGCGTAGTATCTTTACCTTATTCCTAGCTATTATATAATGACTATATTATAGTTATTGCATAGTTTTGTATACTCAGCATTTGCGTGTATAAAATCCAAACATCAAGTAGATTCCTTGATTTGCACTTGATTTCTTGATTTGTATGTATATTTTTTCCATCTAGAGTTTACATTCAAGAAGAAATAATCCAGAAGAGAAAGAACAAGCAGATCAAGATGTGTAGCTCTGTGGCTGCAAAGTTGTGGTTTTTGACAGATCGTCGTATCAGGGAAGACTATCCCCAAAAAGAGATCTTACGAGCTTTGAAGTCCAAATGTGGTGAAGAGGAACTGGACTTCAGGGCTGTGGTGATGGATGAGGTGGTGCTGACAATTGAGCAAGGAAACCTGGGTAAGTCTATCCTGACTGATCTTTTGAATTTTTGCTTGGAATGGGGTGAATCTTTCTGTTTTAGGACAAATGAATCATTAATAGCCTTAGCATTTTTAAGCATCATATGATCATAAAATCTAGTAAATTTTATGGAAAATAGTACTAGTTTCCTAATTGGATTTAGGAAACACAGGAAGGAAATTTAAAATGACTTTCTAGTTTTCTTCTATTTTTATTGTCTTTTAATTTACAGTGCTGGAGATTGAACTCAGGGGCTTGCACATACTAGGCAAATGCTCTACCTCTGAACTACATTACCAATCCTTCCTACAAAAATTTTATTTGAGACAGGTTCTTTTTAAGTCATCCAGGTAGACCTAGAGCTTGCCATCTTCCTGTCTGAGCTTTTGGATTAGATGGGACTACAGGGTGTGTGCCATCATTCCTTTCTATTTCTATCTTCTAGTTTTAAATACTTGTTTATAAGGAACTCCTAAGGGAATTTGTATCTTTCAGAGGTCTTGTTAATCCGTGTACAGTGACTCTTATTTTCATTTTCTTTACAAAATAATGTGTGGCTTAAACTACTAAAACAGTTTTATTAAGGGTAAGTGTGCGTTAATGATGTGACTAATGATGTGTGTTAATGATAAAAATATTTCTGGTATTTGTAATATTTCACATTTGTTTTAGAATTAAAAGGGAAAGATACCCTGGAAGAGCATAGCAATTCTTGAGGTCTAACTTTCAGAAATCTAAATTTTTGATTTGGAAAGTTACGGTTTGTTAACATAAGTGGTATTTCTGTCTGGGAATTTCATATGGTATCAGAAAAGTGGAATTTTTTTATTGGCTTTCAGAACATAACTTGTAATTTAGTATTCTTCCTTTTTTGGTACCGAGGATTGAACTCAGGGGCACTTGAACACTGAGCCACATCCCCAGCCCTATTTTGTATTTCATTTAGAGACAGAGTCTCACTGAGTTGCTTGGCACCTCAGTGTTACTGAAGCTGGCTTTGGACTCACAATTCTTCTATCTCAGCCTCCTGAGCCATTGGGATTACAGGCGTGTGCCACTGTGCCTGCCTATAACTTGTAATTTAGCATATGCACATTCTAGATCACTTAGGAAACAAACAAAAGTAGATTATTTACTTGCTTTGTGACTAGAATCATAGTGAAGCTCCATGGTTTTAATTTCCTCATTAATACAGTGGGGGAGAGACAATTATTGTGTGAATTAAAGATATGCAGAGTATATTAAATTCTTACTTTTATTTGCTGTTAGAAAATAATTTCATTCACAGGGTGATTAAAAGATGCAGAATCTTGTCTAATTCCACAGATTCAATTAATAAGTAGACCATCTTAGACCAGTCTTTATTCTCAGCCTTCTTTTAACATTTATTTCATTCTTTGAGCAGTTGTTGTTATGTTTCCATGCTATTTCATTTAAGTGAGTATTCTTTTTCTCTTGGATATAATTACTACTTTTTCTTTCTTTTTATTATTTTTTTTAAACACTGGGGATTGAACCCAGGGGTGTTGTACCGCTAACCTGTACCTCCAGTCCTTTTTATTTTTGAGACCTGGCCGTGAGTTTGTAATCCTCCTTCCTCAGCCTCCTGAATCACTAGGATTAAAAGTGTGTACTGCTGCACTGGCTAGTTACTAACCTTATGATGATTATGTTCATTGTTTTATTTTTCAGTCCAATTCTTTTTTCAATATATATGCCTAGATTTTCAGATTCAGAAGACGTTGAGCAAACTCTCTTTCATTCTTTCATTGCATATTATTGGAGTACTTCCTAGATACTAGTTTACTGAAGGGTATGGTATGCAAAATAAAACATAGTTCCTGTTTTCTAGAGGTCGTCTTTAATAATTATTCAAATTCATGTAAAATTATTATAGCTTGCTTATAACTTTTAGTATAAGTGTATGTGTAGTTATTGTTGAAACTGAAGTCAGAACCTCAGATACTTTTTGTTGGGAGCTATGCTCTTGAAGTGTGCATGAGAAGAGATATGCCAATATGAAACATTAGTTCACATAATACCACTCCCAAAGGCTTTTGGTGTGTACTTCTGTGTTTTACAGATTAGAAAAACAATGGCCAGAGCCAGGGTTCTTTAAGAAATCTGGTGTCTCAACTGGGCCTGGTAGCAGAGCTTGTAATGCCAGCTACTTGGGAGGCTGGGCAGGAGGATCCTAAATTTGAGGTCAGTGTAAGCAACTTAGCAAAACCCTTTTTCAGAATAAAAAAGGGCAGGGTGTGATGGCGCATGCCTGTAATCCCAGCAGCTCAGGAGGCCGAGGCAGGAGGATCATGGAGTTAAAAGCCAGCCTCAGCAAAAGCAAGGTACTAAGCAACTTAGTGAGACCCTATTACAAAATACAAAATAGGGCTGGGGATGTGGCTCAGTGTTCAAGTGCCCCTGAGTTCGATGCTTGGTACCTAAAAAATAAATAAATAAATAAATAAATAAATAAATAAATAAATAAATAAATAAGCAACAACAAAAGGGCCAGGCATATTGCTCAATGGTTAAGTGCCTCTCGGTTTGATCTCAGAACTTCAAAAAAAGAAAAAGAAATCTAGTGTCTGCCAAGTAGGCAAGATTTGGCAGGTAGAAATTAGTTTGAATAGTTGAAAAAGATCTAGGGTTGAAAACCATTATTCCTGCATTTTTTTCTCAATTTGCCTGCTTTATATTTTCACTTCTATGTCAGCTAGCATTTCTATGCCAGTTTGTCAAAGCTGAACTCACTTTTTCCCCTACAACGTTCTTCTTTATAACATCACTTTTCTCACATACACCTGGACTTGTGATGACATTTAAAAATTTAACTCTTTTAGAGCCTGTCTTAACACAATTTTCTTGTTTATTTTCATTCTAAATTTTAACCATTCTGTCTTCTTATTCTGAGGCAGACAGTCTTGGCCTCAAATTTTAATGACTACAACGCCCTTTAGCTCTTTCTCTTTTCACATTGGTCTTTCCTCTTTATTTTTCAAATCTTCATTAAAAACTTCTCTGATTATCTTTTTTTTTTTTTTGTACAAGGGACTGAACCCCCAGGGGCACTTAGTCACTTAGCTACATCCCCAGCCCTTTTTATTATTTATTTTGAGACAGGGTCTCACTAGGTTGCTTACAGCCTCACTATATTGCTCTGGCTGGCTTGGAACCTGCAGTCCTCTTCTGCCTCAGCCTCCCAAGCTACTTGGATTACAAGCAAGCGCTGCCACACCTATTCTGATTATCTTAACATCCATTAAGATGTCTTCAGGAAATTATTATTCCCTATAGCATGGTATATACCTCTTGTGTATCCAGACATAACTACATAACTAGGTGTTTTTCAAAACTATTATTTTACATTATTTAAGTATTATGTCATTTTAGGGAATGTTATATTACCATTTTATAGATGAGAAAACTTTTTCACAGAATTCTCTTTTTCTACATAGTACTTAAAACAATGGTCTCCAATAGGTTTTCTTTGAATCCAGCTTCATCAGTTAAAAATATTTGGAACATTCTCCCCAGTATATGCCTATTTGGGGAAAAAAAAAATAATGCTAATCAGAGTTGGTTAGACCAAACTGGTCTGTGGTAGAACTGTGTCCTTGGGCTACCAGAATATATTTGCTCTGTTCATCTCTTTTATTGTCAGTGAGGCCTTGGTTTTTTAGCCTCTGTGCCTCATTCTCAGAACCACCCTCTCTGGCAGCAAGTGTGCTGTTTTTCCCAGCTACTTCATCCAGGTCAAACTACCCTTGCCAACCAAGCTGTGAAGGTAAAGATAGGAAATGGGAGCAGCCTTAGGCAAAAAAGCCATAGACTTCATTGTTCATACCCACAGTTCTACCTTTTTTGGGGTGTTATTATTAAATGTGTCTCAATTAATTTGTCTTTGGCTAATTTCCTGAGCCCCAGAAGTAGAATTTAAACACACACATAGGTAATTTTGTAGTTGAATGTTTTGAGATAAGAATTTGTTCACTTTCTCATAATGGCATAGTTGGAAGTCTAAGCCTTTTTAAAAAAAAAAAAAAAAAAAAAACAACAACCTGGGCTGGGATTGTGGCTCAGTGGTAGAGCACTCGCCTAGCATGCCTAGCACGGGTGGGACCTGGGTTAGATCTTCAGCACCACATAAAAATAAAGGCATTGTGTTGTGTCCATTTATACCTAAAAAATAAAAGAATTTGTATAAAAAAACATCAATTTTTAGAACAATTTTAAATTTACATTCAAATTGCATAGAAAGTAGATTTCTTGTATATCCCTATACACATGCATAGCTTCCTCCTATCATTTACAGCCCTTACTAGAGGGGTACATGTGTTTAAAATTGGTAAACTTACATTGACATCATTATTACCCAAAGTCCTTAGTTTACCTTGGGGTCCACTCTTGTGTTGGACATTTTGTGGGCTTGGACAAATGTATGACATGTATCTGTTGTAGTTTTATACAGAATAATTCAGTGCCCTAAAAAATCCTGTATGCGCTCTGCTTATTTATCATTTTCTTTTTCTCCCACTTATTCATCCTCTGTCCTTTTCTTCCCTCTTGACAACCTTGGACTTTCATAGTTTTCCTTGCCTAGAATTCTGTAGCTGCAGTAATAAACTCTAGTCTTTTTCATGTTGGCTTCTTTTACTTAGTAATACCCATTTAAGACTCTAGCATGTATTTTCGTGGCTTGATAGTTTTTTATTTCTTTTCAGTGCTGAATAATGTTACATTTGTCTGGATGTACCACAATTTATTTACTCATATACCTATTGGAGGATATCTTGGGTGCTTCTAAGTTCTGGCAGTTATGAATAAAGCTGGTTTAAATTATCTTTGAATATGTTTTGTATGGACATAAATTTTTGACTCCTTCAGGTAAATAAGTGCCAAGAAGCATGATTGCTAGATCATAAGGTAAGGATATGTTTAGCTTAGTAAGAAACTGCCATACTGCCTTAAAAAGTGTTGTATCATTTCACATTCCA